AATTTTGTGAACCAGTTTTGACTTCAACATTTTTTTAATTCTGTACAGATCTTTCTTTTATATAATCCACTTTTAGTGTCAAAACTAGAGTATTTACATAAAACTAAACATTTAAAAACTGGCATTTCATTTCACATGCACCAGCCTATCCTTATTTAATAATTTATTTATATTTTGATAATTTTATAACAAATTTTTTATTTATTAATATTCCGATTAGTGATTTAATATTTATATTTCTTAGTGAAACCAAAAATGATTATTCAAATGAATATTTTAAAAATAGGTTAATCTGGATAGATGGACATCTTTTAATGATGAAACAAAATGTTTTTTTTTCCTGTTGTGGCATTACCTACTTGCGGGAAGTAGTAAGCACTCAACAGCCTATAGCTATTTATAGTCTGTGCCTTTGTGGCAGAGAGCAATGGTCACCCTTGTAAGATTAATAATTATAGTAGTATAGAATTTTGTTTATAGATGAGAAAGATAATCTGTGGTGAAGCTTGTTTGCTTCATCAGACTTATTAATATAAAGCATCAGAACAATAGTGTTTATATGAACTATGGAATACAAAGAAGAGACTTCTCATTTAATTATGAGTGGGAGAGGTTAGTAATAAGGTTGTATTCTAAATTATCAACACCCCAGTGATTTTGTTGCTAACACTGCGTTTATTAAGTGCATGTTTGTGCAAAAAAAACAGAAGAGTCAAAGTTTGGAGCTGGGTGAAGTGATTTGATAACCAGTTGTGGCTGCCGGTCATCATGCAAGGCACAGCTGTTGCTGCTACCACCACCACCATGACCTTGTCACCATAAGAACAGGACAAACCTACTTCTACCGTCACTGCCTTCACCGCCATCACTCAATATGTCTGCTTGATGTTGCTGTAATAAGAGAGTTGGTCGAAGTAGCAGCCAATGAGAGAGAGATATAGGCAGTAAGAGTGAAAGTGTCTGCTTGTTGCTGTGATAAGGTTAACGCTTGCTGAGTGAATTAATTATGGCTACTAATAAGAACAAAAATGGTGAACCCATAAAGCTACTTCTCTCCTTTCAGAATTATTTGCAATATGTTTTTTTTTTCCTGGACTTTATTGCTTATACACTACTTTCTTGTAAAGGAAACATTATTCTTTTTGTACCAATTTCTTCCTTATATACATAAATTTTTCTTTGGACTCAAATCGACTTGTTCATATTTGATTTTCCTGCTCAGCCTGATTCTTGCCCCAATGAACTTGCAGGCAGTCCAGCTGAATCTTCCGGGATCTACGATTTATTTGCTCTAAAAAAAAAAAAAAAAAAAAAATATATAAATCACAACATGGCTGAAAAGTGGAATCAAATCAACATGGTGAACCAGAGACTTTGATTGAACCTGTAATACTGGACCAGGACAAGACCAACAGCCAGTCTTGTAGAGTACATCGATCCAGTGGGGTCAGGATAGGTGGTACACCTTCATATGTAAATGAGTCACCTCATCTCCCTGTACTGAAGAGGTTTTATCTTTATTTTCCCTGGTACTACTTCTGGGAGATTTTGTCTCCTCACTATCTAGTGTTCTGTTCACTTTTGCATTACTAATCTTGCTTCCTGTAGATTAGATTCATTATTCTTTTTATACCAGTTTTTTGTTGGTGGTATAGAACATAGTCAATGGGGCCCTAATTTGTCTACTCATGATGGTATGCCAACTTTAGATCATTTTAGAGAATGGACAAGGGAGTTTAAAGCTCATTCTACATTGAGGATAGGATATAAGTCTGTACATATTTTGTGGTTTACACCTATTTTGTAATCACCACATATGTGCAGATCCCTATTCTTTCTTAAAATTACTTATGTGGAGGCCTATTTGCTTCCTCCTAGTGGAACTCATTCCAGTATTTTTTTTTTAGTTTTTCCACAAGTATTAGTAGTAAATGGACAGGCACTTTTTGTGCTTCAAAATATGAGGAGGAAGATATTTTCCTTTAGTCTTAACTTCACTTCAAAGTTTTTTAACATCCCAATCTCTTCTGCCTCGACTTTATTCACCAATTTTGTCAACTTTATGTTCAATAAATCATTCCCTATTAGAGCATGAACTTTAGTTTACCACAATAATTGGTAATACATCAAACTTTAAAAAATAAAAAAAAGTTCCATGTAGGCTTCAAAATAGCCTAACATTTTTATCAAACTGATTCAATTGAACATAGCTTTCATTTAATCTTGGTTTTCCTAATTTCTTCCAGAAATTTCTGGGTATCAACATCATGTCACTTCTTGTTCCTGTAACAAGTCCAATAAAGCGATTCATTTTGAAACACTTCACATGTCAGACATTTTTTGTTTCATGTTGATATCCACAATAAGTACATTACATCTTTTTTCTTTATTGTATATGTGTATTTACTCTACCAGATCTATCATTTTTGTTCTATTAAATTTTCCATTCTTGCTGAACAAATTCAACACACTGTCCTAGTGACAACTTTCCCCCGTTATAAATGCATTAGTCATTTGCTGATATTCTTTCTTTTGAAGGCCATTTAACAGTTTCATCTGGATCAGGATCCTCTTCAATTGATTGGTTTCCCAATCCTAGTTTCTCAAATTCACAATATTTAGCAGCCTGTTTTAAACAAAGAACACTGAGTAACTGGTTCATTCACTTTTTGAGAAATATAAACTTAGTTCTCTCCAAATTCATCATTTTTTTTCTTAGGTGTTATGTTTTTCACTATTGACTTATATTGTCAAGTATCATTTTCTCCAACTCTTGGGTGTACAATTGCTGGTAATAAATTATAATGGCCTCACAACCAGTAGTTGCCAACAAGAGATCTGTTATTTGGTTTTCTCTTCCAACTGATTTTGAATCCTTTAGTTTTTTTTTGTTTTAGCTTTAACTGCCATTCTAAGCGAGCCTTGTGGATATTCATAATTATCAAGTGATAATTGTTCATTAGATCTCAGTGATGCCATTGTGTGGTTACCTATGCAAGGGAAGTAGTAAGCATTCAGTTGCTTCTTGGGTAATAGCTATAGCTATTTAGTCTTTGTGACTTCATATGTAAAGTTTTGGATATTTTTTTGTGGACACAAAGAGAAATGAAATAATTAAAATTTACCCTAACTTTGCCATAGACTTGTAATAAAAAAAAAAATATTCTTTTTTTATAAGAATGTCATATTTTGGAAAAATGATTCAATGGTTGAGACTTTCATTACCATTTTTAAAAATGTTCATTTATGTCTATATTTGAAAACTTACCCTTGAGAGCTAAGTCAAATTTCATAAGTGATTAATTTAGCTAAAGAGTTACACAAAGATGGCAATATATCTCTTCTTGTTTGACCTTTCAGAGGTATAAGTTCCACAATTCCTTTTGATATCCATATCAAATAAAAATGCAAACTGCACTACCTTAGTAAATCAGAAGAATTTCATCAATGACAATAGAGAATGCAAGACTGCACTTCATTCTTAAAGTACAAGTGTTTGAAAATGGACACAATTATATGATCTGCAACAGAATTCCTCAACAATGATACATCTGAAAATAATTGGCATTTTTCAGAATAAAATATGTATCTTTTTAACAAATTCACCTGAAAAATGCTTTGTGAAAAAAAGCTATTATAATTACAATTATGTAGCTAAATAAATGCTGCATCAATTTTTATGTAGGTTCTAAAAACTAACAATTCTGAGTGTGTAGTTTAAGTTTTCTCTTTGCAAATTTTGCTATTAAATTTATTTAATGATCTTTATGCTGCAACTGTACTCAATAGCAACAGAAATGGATTTACTTCAAATTTTACATGTCAGTTTACTATCCAAATTTAACAAAAACAAGTATCCATCTTTAATCTATATTCAGCACCGATGTTTTTTTTTTTGCATTGCTATATGATACAATAGTAGATAAATTTTTTTAGAATAAATCATTTGCAAAAATAAAGTTTTCTTTAGCAAAATCTGTGCACTATCAAATTTAATCAATATGTGTGGTATTTGTTCTACAGCATAAACAACTTCCCTGTAATATTCACTTTTCATGCATTATATGTGCATCTTAAACTGTTTATCTTTATTCCTTAATATAATTAAAAATAAATATATATTTATAAAAAGTTATAAAAACAGCGTAACAGAATATTTTAAAATTAAAAAAAGGAAAGGAAAATGTCTTTAATAAAATTGATCTGTAGACAAGACTAAATATGACTGTGGGCCTGTGTTTGACACTCACTGATTTACCTATTAAGGCTAGGATAAACTAAGGGCAGAAATAATTTTTAAAAGCATAAGCTTGTAAGCCTTTACTTCTGATTAAAATTGTCAGTAGATACTTTAGTTCTGATTAAAAATTGTTAGCATTTTGCCAGAGAGAAATTCTTTAAGTTAAAAATTCTATACCATCATCTAGGAAATAGAATTTTTTTTTTCTTCTTAATATGTTCTTCCAGTGGGTACAAAACATTAGAAATCATGTTAAACTGTTGTATTTTTATTGCAAGTAGTCTTAATTATTTTTTCTACTTTGAGCCCTTAGCCAATTAAATATCAGTCACAAATTGATAAAAAATTTTTAAAAAATTTAAGATATTTATTATGCAATCATTACAAGTATTTTTCTTCTTAGCATCAACCAACTCAGTAATGGCCAATTTATTCTTTGAATCAACATGCAAATAAACATGAATTGCATGAATATCATTATCACCCAAATTTCCATTGGAAATAGAAAAACAAATAGTCATCTAATAAAACAATCTGCTAAATCAGATTCTCAGCAACCACAACAGGATCATCCAGGAATTAAATAAGACAATTCATTACAATACAGGACTTATCCTAGTTGGAAATTTCATAATTAAAAATGGTTTTGTTTTGTCTCTTATTGATCCAATTTGGTTGATAACTTAAAAATTATTTCTCCAATTGATTTCCTTTTTATATTTCAATCCAAAATTTCACTGATGAACAAATTCTGCAAATTTTAAAGTCCAAGTGCCTGTTAACATAAAAAAAATAAAATAAAATAATCAGTTACATTAAAATTAGATTTTTTTCTATTTACATTGGATTTACAAGCTACAAAACACATTCTAATAGCTTATAAATTTTCTGATATATTTAAGGATGGATGGTAAATACTGAAAGCTAAAGGAGTATAAATAGAAACTCAAGATGACATGCAACAAATACTTAAAAAGGCCACTGAAAAACAGGATGATAGAGACTTGTATTTGCATCTTATAGGTCAGTTTGGTAAGAATTATTTTAAATTTGTACGTATTTTTTATGTAGAACATACATCTACACAAATATACAAACCTGATCTTGTCATAAGGGAAAAATCACTTACATAAAAAGGTGACTACATTGTTAATAAATATCAGATTTATTTTTATGCTTTAATTTACTATTCTTTCTAATTTTGTAGATATTGCATAATTGGTATATTTGAAAAGGAATATTCAAGTGTACACTGAATTGTGCTAACTATTTTTTTTTTTAATTATAATAAAGAAAAAAAAATAAGATAAATAAAACTTACTTTCCGAGCAAACTGTGGTAAAACAAAAGCCGCTTTGTGGATGGGTGTGTTATAATATTTTAGATCCATGGACTCAATTTCATTATCTGACCAAGTCCTTACAGGATCTGAGAAATTCTTTTCCTAAAAATAAATTTCGAACCAAAATAAAAAAATATTTTACAGAAATTTAAATTTTAAACCAAAACATTAAAAATATCACATGAAAATATAAATCTATCTAAGAAAATTTTTTAAAAATAAGTTAAATAAAATATAATATTCTGATTCAGATGAAATGCTTCAATGCAAAATTTAAGTTATAAACTCATGATTTCTGGAAATTTAATTACAGGATCACATATGTAATATGCAGGTACAAATGCAATAAGAAAATAGGAGAGACAAATATTTACTTACAGTATTGCTGCATAAAATGAATCCAATCTGTCCACCTGCATATGTTGGTATGGTGGTATATGCATAAGAAACACATGGAAATACTGTCCGACAAGTTTTTAGAACACGCTGGATTAAATCTTTGTCTAACCAGAGACATTCACCTGAAATAAATAAAAATTCATAAAAAAAGATTTTGTAGACACACACAAAAAAAAAAAAAAAAAAAAAAAAAAAAAAAATCGCTGACTTTCAATAAAAGCAGAAACAATTGAAAATTAATGATCATTCATGTCAGAAATTCCAATATTTTTTTATATGTATAAATACAGCAAGATAACAATAGAGTAATCAAAAAAATAAGAGTATAACTAGATAGCATTTCTTATACTTGGGAATTTGGTTAAAGTGCTAAGTCAAATCTTGCTATTCTAGTTATTCTTTATTCTTGAGGAGAGAGAGCTGCAACAAAAAGAAAAAAAATAATGAAAGACTAGTAAAAAAAATTAATAAAAAGATACAGTTATTTATTATTTATAATTCAGAACACAATCTCTTATCATTATCATCTGTGGTTTTCTTAAACCATTATAATTAATTTAAATAAACCAAACCAAAAGGCTGGGAAGAAAGAAAAAAAACTGATAAAAAATTAATATTAGATGTGTGCAAACATTACTTTAATAAAAAAAAGATAAAAAGCAGGTAGCCTCTAGTTTTAAAAAGCTAGGTCGGGGGTACATTGTTAGTAGTTAGATATGTGCAAGAGTTACAATAGTTCCATCTGTGAAATTTGGAAACTATTATAATATTACCAGTATAAAAAAACAACTGAAATAAGCTGAAAAAAAGTCAAGATGCTACTTTGCTTGTACATAATGGATGCAGATTAAAATATATTCACATTCAAATTTCTATAAGACTGTATGATGTGAAACTATGTGAACTCATAGGAACCTATATAGAATTTAAAAAAAAAAAAAAAAAAAAAGCTACAATAATTAACAAAAATATAAGATGAATTATTAATATTAATAGACTGGAATTGCAAAATAATAAATGCAAGAAAATATTTTTTTTTAAATTTAGGATTTACAACAGATATAAAATAGAATAGTAAATTTCTTAGATATAACTTCTAACCTCAATAATGGCACATTTTACAATTTATATTAAACATTCCAATCATCCATCAGCTTTTTTAAAACAAATATCTATTTCTGTAAACAAGAGACCTTCAACAGATCCCGGTAATATGAAAATAGTTAAGTAAAAGAGTATGAATATAATAATTGGAATATAAATTTAGAATATAAATTGGAAAATAATAATAAAAATAAGAGGGAGAAATATAACAAGAGATTAATTCTAGCATTTATATCTAGTCATATGTTTGGTATAAAAAATCTATAAAGAGATAATCATACATTGAATCAATTAGGAATATTAATGCAATTAATGGCGAAATCTCTTCATTAACAGATTTAATATAAGCATTAAACTACTAACAATCCACTGAATGATGCGATCTTTATGCATAAAAAGGTTTTTGTGTAATGATGTAAAATGTTTTTATTGTAATTTAAAATAAAAATATAAATATTTTGCTCATCTTCATATGGAGTACTTTTAAAGACAAGGTACTGCAATAAAGCATTTTATTTAATTTTTCTTGTATTTGGACAAGTGTTTTCTTTTCTGGACACAGTATGTAGAAACTGCCCAAATGTTCTGTAATTCTGAGTGCTTTTGGCTACACTTTTAGCCATTATCAAGGATGACTTTATTTTAATTGGGCATATGGGTTGTGAGTATGTTTCTAGAGTTATAGGGATGTTCTATTTTCTGAACATGGTTAGCACATTGTGACAGTGTTCATAGTTAATATTATGAAGTGTTCGCTTTTTCTTTTTTATTATTAAGGTGTCCATTATTTTTAATCTTTTTTTTTTTTTTTAACAGGTGGATGAGGTTATTATATTTGTGTTTTCTACTAGTATGTTTTGTAGTTTTTTTTTTAATTTTTTATTTTCCCAAATACTTTCAGCCTCATCTGAGATCATCTACAGGGATGAATTGCTAAGACAAAAAAAAATTAATGTAATTGATAGTTGTGATTTTTTTCTAAATATGCATGAAACACTCTTTTATATTTTAAATATGTATGAATGTGTTCTGTTATAATTTAAAAATTAACTTTTAAAGCTATTACGTTTGTTCCAGGTTTTTATCTAAGGGAGGTAAGTGTAATTTTTGTAATTATAATTTGAGTATTTTAAGAACATTTGTATTATAGACATTTTAAAAAGGCTATATGATTTTCTTGCTTTCAAGCCATTCAGAAAATGAGTTTAATTCAATACAAGAAACCGAGGAAAATATATTAACAACTTTCAACATGAACTAAGAATTATAAAGAAAAGATACACAAATACTAACAGCGTTTTTAAAAGTCATTCATTTTCTTTTCTTCTTTAATGACAAGAAATGCCAGCTTAGGGAAAAAGTACTAGGAATCATTATTTAAGCAAACATTTTTGTTTTTGCCTCTGATGAAGCCTTAAATGGTGAAATCCATAATGAAATCTATTTTCAATGAAACATTTTCCATTTGTCAAATTTATTAATATGCACAAGAAAAGAAAATTCAGTTGATCTACAGAACTCATGGGATAGGCAGTTGTAAATTTGAAAAATTTAGTGAGCATGTATAAGTGCTTACAAAATAATATAAATATCCTGTAATAATTAATACATTTATTCTTATATGGGTCCCGAAGAGTTAAGTTGAATTTTGCTAAGTGAAGGTTGTGTGTAACCTTGATCAATCAAGGATAAGAAAATATTTTTTAAAAAGCTTTACTGCAAGACATTCCCATGGAAACAGAAAAAAAAAAGTAAATAATTCTCTATACATTTTTTTTAACTATATACATGATTATTTAAAATTCTCTGCCATTGATTGAAACAGAAATTCTTTTCAAAATAAATTTATGGAATAACATCTTCAGAGAAACAATATCCTCACAAACAGATCAATAAACACAAAAATAATTTAAAGCACAAATTACCAATTCTGATTTCACAAAAGGGTTTATACAAGATATAATCTATCATATTAACAAAAAGAAATAAATGCTCTAAATAAATTAGCCAGCAAAATCATCAACTTAAATGTGGAAGCATAGTAATTATAAACACCGATATATACCATGAAAAATAATGTTACTAGCATATAGTAAACCAACAACTATAAATAAGGATATTGAACTATTATCAGTTCAGCACATCTAAAAAAATTCTAATGACTAACTAAATAAAATGAAAGATATTGATATGGCAAACAAGATTGTAGCTGGTTTAGGTATTAAATACCTGTATACTATAAGTACCTCCACTTTTTTGTTAAACTAGAACATATCGTGATAAAAACAAAGTTTTGCCAAAATCTTTATTATTATTAATAAAAGGAAAGACCAAAGTATATGGGTTTGTTTTTTTTCATCAGTGGTGAGCTAAAGATTACTATGGGAATTTTAGCACCATTTTGCAATAAAAAACACATTTTGAAATTCTTGCAAAAATCAATTATTGAATTTTAATGAAACTTTCAAGACGTATTCACAAATGAATGAAATTTTAGAAATTTTTTTTTTTTTTTAATATTTAGAAAATTATGGCTGAAATATTTTTTTTTTTTGTTTACATCCATTATCCTCGCTCAATTAATGGAATTGAAAAATTAAATTTTGTCCTGCTTCATATTTATATTAGTTAAAAGCAGGACTCCTTGGAGAATGTAAATCAATCCCCCCCCACCAAACTGTTACTCATTTGCCAAAATTTACTCTGAATCCTAAAATAAAAAAAATGTAATCAAACTAAGACATTATTTAAGTAGAAAAGCTTTTAATTGTTTATAGGAATAAGATATATTATGGACACTACTGTCTTAAGAAATAAAATTTTCTTGAATAATGAATTTTTATAAATTTTTTTTTTTTTTTTAACTAGAATAATATATAAAGTTTTAAATCTTTTAAATTTCTGGACTGGTAGGTGATATTGTTATTAAATAAAAACTATATTTACTAATCATAAATTGAAAAGTTTAGTACAAATCATCACACACCAATATTTTTAAAAGAACTTTTAATTTCTTTTTATATGTATAATATGCATATTTTCTATTATATGGGGGACCATGCACAACACAACATTATCTGAAAATAAGAGTGATAACTATTTTAAATTTACAGTGAAAAATATTTAAAATTCAATAAACATTTGATTACAGAGAATATTTAAAATTTTTGTGATTACTGAGTACTTAAAAATTATGTCAAGAAGGGGGCTCACATTAATTCAATTACTTTTTTTAACACCTAAAGCCTCCATAGAACATTAGATAAATCTGTCAAACCCATAAATACCGTAAATAAACAGCTACTTTGGATTGATAAAGTAAATAATAGTTGTCTCAAATCAGATTAATTATACTTTAAATCTGCTAATATTTCTCAAATAAAGTTTCAAAAAAGTATCTTATTTTTTGGAAGATTTTATAATAAAGCGAATTACACTGCAATGAAAGACAACTAAAAAAGGAGATTACACATAAGCTATTGTTTTCTTTGTTGTTATCAATGGAACAAGAACAGCCTGTACATTTGGGAAAGCTTATTGAAGTAAATGTGCTTTCCAACAAGATTCAAACCTGCAGGAGAAACTGCCATTTGACCCAACATGTTTTGACCACCCAGCTACAAAGAACTTCATAATCAAACAAGGTTCTATTTGCCTTTAAAGTACATTTTACTCATTTAGATTTTTTCTAAAATCATAATTGCTCAGTTTCATATTTGAAACATAAAGCAATTAAATTCTTAAACTCAATTTCCTAATATTCCATGGTTATAATTTATTACATTGGAATCGTAACCACGATCCAATTCACCAGACCTACAAATTCAAAAAGAAAAATCGGAAAATATAATTCCGGGTATAAAAAAAATAAAATTTTAGTGAGAGTGTATGTGTGGGAGTGGGAGACAAGTGTGAGTAGGAAATGAAAGCTCTAGAGAGGGGTAACAGACGAAAGAACAGGAAGGTCTAAAGGTGAAGATGGGGATTAAAATTTAACAGAGAGAAATTTTAAAGAGAGGAGGTAAAAAACGGTTTAAATGAGTGAGATACAGATAAATATGAATTATTTTCTGATGCATAATTCACTACCGAATTGCTGGCCTAAATTAAAATTAAAAACAGACACTGGAAATGTGGCTATACATTTGCGGTGACACTTCGTACAATAAAAGACGATATGATCTAAACTTAAAATCCAGAAGATGAGAGAGAGAAAAGAAAAAGAGTGAAAGAGATTCAACTAAAAATGAAGGGCATTTATAAGAGAACTGATGTGTAATCAAAAAAATTTGACAAAGCAAGTAATATCACCTACAGGTCACAAATTTAATATAAACATATAAATTAATGAATATTTAATCCAATAAGGACATTATATATATATAACATATATATATAATTATGTGAAAATATATAGAAAATAGGAAGGAACTGGTTAGGTAAATAATCCAAAGTCCCTTAGTATTTTAGTTATTATTTTTAAAAAATAGTGCTCGATACAAAAGTAGAGCATAAATATAATTATTTATTTAAAAATATGATTCCAAATCACTACATAAGAGGTCTCATGTTTCAAAACAAGAGCCGAAAACTTCAATATAATCCTTTAAATTAAATTGAGTTGAAAGTAAAATGGGCTCCGTTCCATCTTCAAGTGAAATTTTTGTTGGAATAACGTATATCTGAAATTTACTTGTTTTAAAATTGAAATCAAAATCCCCATGGTAACAGCTAGGGTGAATTGTCTAAATTGGGTAGGCGAGTGTAGGGTGTTTATAATAAGTAGCGGTATAGAGATACTTTCAAGGTGTCAAGTTGGGGAAAGGTGGGGGTGTCAAGTCGGGGAAAGGTGGGGGTGTCAAAAATGAAACGGAAGATGTATTGGCCATCGTCTAGTTTGCTTGTCTATGGAGATTTATTTATTTATTTTATTTTATTATGAAACGGAATTGTGCATATAAAAAAAGAAAAACTTTCGTAACGTTTGTTTTTGACGACTTATAAAGGGTTATCTTATATGTAAGGTATTTAAACTACTAATTTAGGCTATGGATTATGAAGTGTGTTATGTTGTATGCATGTTTGTAGTTAATTATTCCTACTATGAATCTGATGATTGGGCTATTTGTTAAACAAGTTATATAAATTTTTTTTTTCTAATAATTCAAACCAAAAATCTGATGATGCCTACAAAAAAAACCGTTAACTTGTGTCTATTATTTAATAGATTATTATTATTTAGAAGTTTAATAATGTGCAATTTTTCATGGAGGCACAAAGGGCATGGGTCATCCCAAGCTTTACATATTCTAGCCTTGTCAATAATTTTCCATTTAACTTTTGGTGTCTTATTTGTTTCCTTCAGGTGCCAAAAATATTTTGATAGTGAAGTCTGATTTCGTTTGTTTATATTATTAAAGGAACACTTATGCTGCCTCCATCTATCTTTAAAATTATTCTTCGTGGACCCAATGTATATCATATTAATGCTAGGGCTCTCTGTGGATGAAATAGTGTACATTGGTATACCACAGAATTAATACAACATTTATTTTCTAAAGGGCAGTCTTCTGGGTTTCTACAGTTACATAATTTTTCCTTTTATCGTCTGATTTAAGTGCAGAGTTTTTATTAATACTGTTTTGGCATGGGGTTTGTTCAAGATCTTATTATTGTGTTTTTTATTCGTTCAAGATTATCAGAGCAGCTGTAGCTCAATTTTAGGGTGTTCTTATTGAATATATTACTAAGCTTACTATTGGTGGGGAAGTGTTTATTAATTAGAGCTAAGAATTTCTGTCCTAGTTTAATACTAACCCTTTGGTTGAACGGAGGGGTGTACCAAATGATATTTCTTTTCCTGTTTGAGGGTATATGTTTAATTATTGATGGAGGATGGTTTGACTTCGGGTGTATGTATAAAGGGGTTAGCATTTGGTTTTCTATAAGGTTGGTATGTGTTGCCTGGTAAGTCTAGAGTTACGTTGAGGAAGTTAACCCTTTTCAAATTAGAAGAGACATTTTTTATATCTTGCATTGTTTTTATATTATATATTTTAAATATAATAATATAATACTGTAATATTATACAGTATGACAATACTTTTTTATACTGTATTTTTATACTCTACTAAATATTTGCAGATATATTTTATACTGTATTTTTATTCCTATATTTTTATGTTTTATATACAGTGTACATTATTGTAATATATTTTATATTACAGTACAATTTTTATACAGTTCCATCACACTAGATGTAGTGTGATGCTACAGGCATTACATCATCCTGCTCTGTTACCTCGTATAATAAACATTTGTAGTGTACACATATTTGTGATTATATTAGTGTAAAAAAAAATTAATAATGTGCAAGAATTTATGTATAGTAATGAATACAGTACAATATAGTAACTATAAATAAAGTAAATATTTTATTAAAAATTTAAAGTAAATATTGTATTAAAATTTCTTGAATTAAAAGTAGGTAAAATGTGATAATGCTGAGTTTGTTTCATCTAATCTATGTAAAGTGTGTTTTAGTCTAATATACAGTGCATAATCATTGAATTTTAAATTGATATCAATGGAGTACAGCAGAAAAATGTAAAAAATTTATAAAGTTTAATTTAAGTAAAATAAAATTTATAAAATGCAGGTACAGCAAGTAAAACTATGCAGTAAAATAAACTACACATCCAGTTCAGGTTCATTTGTACATTTCATCACCGCAGTTTATTCCTTTATATTTTTCCATACAGTTATTGTATAATGTGTTAATGTAAATATTACTGTACATGTATAATAAATTTTAAATTTTAGTGGGTAATTTTTTTGATAATTTTTGTAGCCCATGATGTTACACAAGAAGCTGGTTGCTATTAAGAAGAGAGAAAAATATCTATGCAAATTGAAAGAGATCATTCAGAAGCACGAAGAAGGTACCTGCGTTTCTGACCTCGCCAATCTATACAGGTGTTCAGCATCAACAATTTGTGTTATCGCAAAGAAAAATATAAAAGTAAAAAAACTTAATGTAGCCAAGGGAGTTAACATAATTACCAAGCATCATCCAAAAGCCATAGAAGATGTTGAGAAACTGTTGTTGGTGTGAATGAATGTGAGGCAGCTATGAGGTAATTCTATGTCTGAAGATATTACATATCCAAAAGCAAGGGCACTGTATGTGGATCTTATTAGAAAAATATCAGGCATATATTCTGAAGATGAAAATGCATTTAAGGCAAGCTGAGGATGGTTTGAAAAATTTAAAAAGAGAAGTGAGACATGGAGAGTCTGCAAGCTCTGATAAAGCTGCCTTGTAAAAGAAGTGACTGAAGATACAAGCCTGACCCTAAGAGAATTTTGGAAGGATCACTTCAGTATTCTAAATTGATTAAATCTCATTGATAAATCCTAGGAAGGGGGAAGGAGTCACAGTGATATATTTATTTACATTATGTGTGTATAATCTTTTAAAGAAATATTTTATTTTTTGCATAAAATACAATTTTTATTGATTATTATATCAATATTTTGGTGGTTTGGAAAGAATTTAATTTCTATTATATTAAATGGGAAAATTTTTTCAACATACAAAATTTCCAGTTACAAATCCACTTCTTAAATTCATAAGTTGAGGTTCCACTGTATTTACTAAGCTTAGCTTTGGTACAAAGACAAGTATGGAATACCCAGTAAGGACCAAAGTTATTATTTAATCCAAACTTGCTAGACATCCTACAGTAGGGTAGGAAACAATAATACAAACCTTGATTGTGAATAAATACAAACCTTGATTGCACATAATACCTCCCGGCTTCAAGGCTTTCATTATATGTTGATAAAATGTTATTCCAAAGAGACCTTCAGCTGGTCCTGAAAAGAAAAGTAATATTTTTAATTCTTTAAAAAAAAAAAAAAAAAAATGAATAAAAATAAATTTTGTGAATTCTGATTCTGAATTCATAATGATGACACTATGTCATCATTATGAAATTTTTTGAATAAACGTCTTAGTATTATTGTTACTTTTTATCACAACATTCTAATCCGATACATTCTCCAACCATTGAACAACTTGAAATAAAAATTAGTTTCCAATAAAACTTAAATTTGGCAATTAAGCTTCATGGTTGGGCAGGTTTCAAATCTGTATTCATATTGGCACCTCCTTTTCTCTACTGTTTTGTTCACATGCATGTCTACATATTTTAATAGGACAGACACATAATGCCTGTTAAGCATTTTGGGGAGTTTTTCCTGGTGTTTAATTATGTTTAAGGTCAAATGGAAATTTGTAAAGTAACTTGCCAAAATTGTCTAATGTTCATTGGTCATTTAGTTGACAGAAAGTCGAGAAATAGCCAGTATTCCATTCTGATGTCATTCATGACGGTTTTGTGACAACATTCTCTGATCGTTTGTCACTCACTGCACCTGTGATGACATCCAAGGTTGATTGTATTTGCATATACACTCAACTCGCTATGTGCATAGGTTTGTCTGCTTGGCTGGGATTGCTTTCAACCAATAATGATGACAAATTTTTTTTAAAGACATTGGTTGGGAGTTCACAACAATACTATTTCTCACTTAGCAGTTCAGCCAAAGGAAAAGATAGCTGGCTATCTCCCTAACTTCACTGGCCTTTGGGTCTGACAACTCCTGATTTCTCACTACTGGTGCTTCTGTCATTAGCCACTGGCAGCTTTAACTCTTCTGGTCACCTACCTACTTCTCTCATGGCTGGACCCACTTTCTTCAACTTCCTGCTAATAATCCTGGGGTCCCACCCGCTTTCATCCAATTGTCTTCAGAAGAATTCTGACCACCCCAGAGCCACATGGCTGGTCAAATCTTCAAAAAACTGCTTTTATGATTATCTAAAACATTTGTAGCTCAAAACATGGAATTCTACATAGTCCCACCCACTAAAAAAAACAATGCAGATGGACCCCAACCGCCTCTGAAGGTAGTTAAATTCAAAGAGTGATAAGTTCTGTGCAGGCCCCAGCCCTCTGAAATATTGTAATGTAGCTGAAGGCAGTTAGCAGCCCTTCTCTTCTGTTCAAAGCATACAAAGAGAATTTCAAACACCTCCAGAAAAACATCACATTACAGGAAGGGTTACACTCCAGATATTTCAAAGAGAAAAACAATATAAAAAAAAAATCTAAACAAGTCACAATTTACAACACAACAGGAAACACAAAACTATAAAAACGAAGAGTCTCATCAAAGTATACATACGTATATATGAGTAGACCACAACAATGTTCATCCTCAGTCCACTGTTGGATTCCTGTGTCATATAAAGTAATCAGGCACATGCAAGGGTTAAAATTTCCTTTTTTTTTCTTTTGGAATAGAGGGCTACAAAATGTCTTTTTTTTTCTTCTTTGGATTACACGCATATAGTGGGGAAATTGTAGCCTCTCTCCACCCTGTCTGACCCTTGGACAATAGAGAGTTCCATTAATCTCCTCTCCTCACCTCACCTACACATACTCTCACCAGCTCATTTTGTACCCTATGCTTTTCAGCCAACATCTCCCATAACCCACTAAAACCATCACTAGCATTATGATAACTGACAACCAAACTATAATATTTGCTGTTGGCTCCCACTCAGTGGGGTGATTTCTGCCTACCATTAACTAATTTGTGTAAACCAAACTGGGGTAATTTGCATGTAGTTATATTTGTTTTCCTTATTAGGGGCTCACACAGCCCTGTATACTTGCTAGTCAAAACATCTAAGGCTAGAAATAAATCCTGGGTTTCAAATTTTTCTTCTGCTTCATAGCATGGTGGGAGAGCTGAAGTTTTCCCAAAGGTAGTGCAACCCATTTGAAGTTTGATAATGGCCAGGCGGTGGAGTAGCTCTTACAGTCACTAAGTTTTCCTATGCATACTCCTAATAAGTCCATTTCCCAGTCTATGGCCAATACATTACTAATTTGCTTCAACCCTTCTAGGTAACTCTTACTTAATTATCCATTCTAATCTGATAATTATCACTATGACAAATTTCAACACACCAGCTGAGATTATGAGGACAACAAGGACCTCATACCGGGTACCACCAGCACTATTAGCATGACCTGCTGAAAAATTCCAACCAGTCTGTAGGGCATAATTCTGAACTGGTACAATGCAATGTGACAGGCAAATTCAACCTTCTGCTTATCAGCTTTGTAGGGGGCTACTTGCCAGTAGCCAAACTCCAAATCAAATATCCCCCAACTGCCCCTTGTATATAGTGGGGTCCAGTATAGTATTAAACTTTATAGGCAGGTGATTATCTATGTCTACCATCTTTATTGTTTCTGTTTAGGCCTAAGCCAGCATCTATATCAGTTATCACATCTCCATTGTCCTTGCTACTCCCTTTGTGTGTATGTGGAGTTAAGATATCTACCGCCCTGATTATGTAATTCTTATAGCTACCTTCACTGTCCTCTGGATATTCTAAACCCACCCCCACCCCTGGTAATAGCTGGTATAGCCTCCCTCACTTTCTCTTCCTTGTGGACCCTTATTGTTCTAGTAGTACTACTAGCTATTATTGGGACAACCCATAATGTCATCTTCCACTGCAGGCTCCATTAGAGCTAGTTCCCTTAAAAATGAGGTTCACCTTTTTGGGCAACCTGATGCATTTTCCTCCCCAGCTAAAGGAAGCCTCCCACTACAAGAGATAGCTATGCATGGGTATAGAATAACATCCTTGGTAGCTTTTATGCTGATTTCTCTGCCCTTCCTTCCTCCTAAAGATATTTTTTCCCCCAATTTCAGCAGTGGAAGTGCTGTGTTGAGGTTTATCTGCACTTCATTACTTTGATGCCAGTCTCTACCTAGTATCATTGATCTATATTTGCTGCATTGTGACTGCCCCTCCTACCTCTACAGGAAGGTGTACTAGCAATACTAGTATCTCCCTTTTGTCTGCCTGAAATGTTTTCAGTTTTGCAACATTTAGTTAGTGTTCTCTAAACCCTAGCTGAAATTAATTCTAGCTCTAACCATAGACATTGATATCCATTAATATGACTATTTCCTTTCCCCAATTCTTGCCTTACATGTTAAATTGAATTCCTAACCTAGCAGAGTAAATGCATGCCTCCCCTGGGTATAGTCTTTTCTTAGGTGACCTGACTGTCCACCCCACCAACAAATCAATTGCTTGGGACCTAGGTGAGATCTTTGCCTATTCCTCTTAGGTGAGTGGAAGTCTATTACTACAACTACTACCAGCTTGACCACAACTCCAGTGTTCCCTTCTACTGAGATAGGGTCTCTTTCTTTCCTTAACAAGCTATCTCATCCCATGTGTGTGCCTTTGGGAAGATTCCAAACGCTCAAACAGTTTACAAATCCTTTATGCAACCATAAATGCTTCTGCAAGTGTTTTGGGAGCTGTCCTAGCTACATCAGTCCTTACAAATGTATTTTTAATTGCATCTATATAGTACTCTGTTAGTTGTGACTGGACACTCCCACCACCACCACAAAAAAAATTGATGAATGTAACTCCTGCTCTCAAATGAATAACAAATATCTACAATTTGCAATCCAGCAAATACTGCAATTATTCATTTGAGAGTTTCAAAATTCGCATTTTCAATAATTCAAAGAGATTAATAATAGTTCACTCTTCCTGATAAAAAGGTTACTGGGTTATCTAAATATGTCATTTTTTTAGAGCATATAATCAATTGTACAAAGTTATTTTTTTTTAAAGGTCAGTATATATACAAATAAAAAAGTGAGTTTGGGAGAAGATTTGTTCAGATATTTACCAACTGGGTCTGGTGAATCTGTAATGATGACATCAAATTCCCCATGAGATTTAGCCAAATAATCCACTCCATCAGCAATGCATAATTCCAGTTTGGGATGAGATAAACCAATAGCCATATCTGGTAGATATTTCTTGCTGATTTCTACTACATCCTAAACAAAAAGAAATTACTGTTGAAATATTTATGTTCATATATATATATATATATATATATATATATATATATATATATATAATATAAATAAAAAAAAAAAAAAAAAAAAAACAATTAATTTTTAAGCATATCAAAGAAATTCTCATAGCACAAGGCAATAAAAATTGTTGATAAATCAGTATATATATATATATATATATATATATATACACACACACACAGAGCTAGTGGTCCGCTGGCAGGCCACTGATTGCAATACCAGTGGTCCTCTGCTGGTAGTCCACCAGTGGTAATATTGCTGAGATGAACATGCCAGCAGTCTGACAACAGTAAACACTAGTGATTGGTGGTTTGTGTGTAGAATATATATATATATATATATATATATATATATATGTGTGTGTTTGTATGTATAATATATATACACAGACAACACACTAACATTCTCTCAATACAAACAAAAATAGTAATTGATATGACAATTATAATTTATCAATTTGAAAACACTTAAAAAGAAAAATTATGGAGAAGAACGGTTCTGCAATGGTCCCTACTTGTATATCAATTTACTAAAATTAAATGAAACTGATAGAATTATCAAGTTATGTTTATTTTAAAAACAATTTTTGAACAACATTATAAAGATTTTTTTCTTTCTAATTGCACTTACCTCATCAATTTCACACAAAACAACTCGTTTCACAGACGGATGTTTTACTACCTCTCTGACTACACCACCATCACCTCCACCAATAATGAGGACCTAAAAAAAATAAACCAATAATATAATTATAACTTCATAAAAAAAAGAAAAAAGTAGGTTCTACTTGCTTAAAACTGGTCAATTGCTTCCTATTTATAGAATTTGTTATATTTTGATAAAATTCAGATTTTAAAAAAATTTTTTGTTTGTACCACTTCCCAATTGTATAAAATTCTAGCTTCTAACACACTGGCTTGTTGACTAAAAACATTACAAATCATACCCTTTGACTGAAAGTAGGAAACCAGTGTAAAATCACATGTCATTTAATCCAAATTGTTTTATAAAAATATGCAAATTTACTCACATTTTCTGGAGAAGGATGAGAATTCAATGGCAGATGAGCAATCATCTCTTGATAGGCAAACTCATCTCTTTCTGTACACTGAATAATCCCATCTAGGACCAGCACATTCCCAAATGTTTTACTATGCAAAAAAAAAAAAAAAAAAAAACAAAACATTATGTGATCAAGGAAAAAACATTGGATTAAATGCATTGACAAGAAAGGAGTTTTTGTTGATTGTGATGTGTAACCTATTTGAATACGCAGTATACATTTCCAGTGAGACAGCCTCAAGAAATAGTGTAAATATATGTTTATTAAAAAGAAAAAAAAAATCATGAGCAAACACTTTAACATTTTAATAGCAGTTTGGATACACATGCAAATGATACGAATAAAAGTGTAAAAAATTTGTGACAGGTTTCATCATTTAGAACTTCAGACTCAAGTGTTTTTTTCTATTGATGTAACTACACATGTGCATGAAGTGGAGGGGTATACTGAAGCTATATATATATATATATGAGAGAGAGAGAGAGATAGATATGTTCAGGTTATAGTCTATCCAATTTCATTTAGTTTCTTTTTGTTTGTTTTTATCACTTGTCATTAAGTATCCCACATTGTGCTAATAGATCTACCAAGAAAGGTGAAATATTGTACAAACCTGGAAGTAAATTTACTGTGTGTGATATAGCAATTAAAGCACTTTCTGTACATTTTGTCTTAGGAAATTACTTTCTGATATGATAGTGCCATTTAAAAAAAAAAAAAAAAAAAAAAAAAAGAAAATCAAAATTGTGGTCAAACTCATTAAGGTGTGCAACTAATACATTGAACACATCTTTTTGTAAAAGATCCTTTAGTGTTCATATAATCTTTTTAGATTTCTTCAAGGTTTCTCCGATGTATTACTTGTGGCAATTATAACAGGTGATAGAGTAAATTCCTGCAAGTTTTAGCTTATTATTTAGTTTTGTATTAATTAAATTTTTCATTGTTTTAGAAGTAGCAGTAACAAATTAAGTTTAGATAAATTCTTTTTTCATTGTAGTTGTGACAGAGTTGATGGGTAGAATAATATATTTTGAATCATTGGGTTTGTCAGAACAGTCCACTCTTTTATTATGAAATATTTCATGAGCTTTTTGTTACACATTAAATATGAAATAATTATAGTATTTGGAAGAGCTTAAAAGTATTTTCAATGTATTTCTCCTTTTCATATTAATACCAAATTCTCATTGTTCTTGAATAGAATCCAATGATTATTCCACATTATTTTGTTATAGGGAGAACAGAAATTTAGAACATTTTTATTAGAGGATATATGAAGGAACCTTAGTTTTAGGTTATTGTCAGTACGGTGTAACATAATATCTAGC